AATTTCTATGAATTCTCCAACAATACCTTTTTCAAGAAACATTTAAATAAATTCATCATCTTCATCTTCTTAAGTCACTAGACACATTACTGATATCCATTCAAAAAAGATAGATTCCTACACATCATTCTAAGAAAGCTATCTCTATATAATGAAAATCTTTTAGAGCGAATCAATTAGCCCATATCCAATTATCTTTGCAATTAAATGTTTTTTATCATTGTATTACTCGACATATCTATTTAGTGTCCCTAGCAAATCGGAAATATTATAGCCTTTATAACATAGAATTTCAGTAAAATTTAAATCATTTGATTCATCAACTTGCTTTTTCTGCTTGCATAATATTCTTTCAACTAATTGTGCCTGGTAATATAGCTGCTAAATCAGTATTCTTTCAAATGAATCCTATCGCTCAATTTGTAAGTTACTGTAATCCTAATTCTTTGATTATAAATAGAAAATCTCTTGAAGACTGTGAAGGCAATGTGATATAAGCTCCTATTAAATAATGTATTCAGGTTGAAATAGGTAATTTAAGTGCTTTTGTTGAATCTCTTGATCTGGGCATTAAAATTAGACTTCTTAATGATAGAAACACAAAAAATATTAAATCATGAATTGCAGTATCAGACTCAAATCTTCTTCCAAACCTTGATAATCACATTCAACAAATTACAGCATTGTTCCAATAAACACATATTTGAACTCCTCGATATCATTTTCCAATTTATCTTTGATATCAAATATGATTTTAATGAACCTTAAATTTACAATTTCATCTCTGAAAGTTTGAGAGTTATACATTAGATTTGACAGTATACTTAAAATTGCATTGAATAGCTGAATTGACACATGCAAATTATCTTTTGTTAAGACCTATTCTAGTTCTTGGTACAATAATTCTTTTATACTGCATTAGTAGTAGAACAATTCCATTAGGTTCACTTATTATCAAAGCAATGAGCATTTTCAAGTATGGTTCACTATAAAGGCCTTATTAAAACTCTATAAAGCCAACCATTATAGATTTCTACATCAAATAAACCCCAAATAATCTTAAAGGTTCCTTTATCTCAGTGAAAAGTTGCTAAATCCTTTGTGAGTCTGCATTTTCTATCTTTGCTTTCATAATAATTCTGAGTAGACTATTGTATTATTCTAAGCTTTCAATTTTTTGATTGTCTTATAAAAATCTTTCGTCTAAATTCATTAGGAATTACTCAAGTAAGGTTGCATTGCTTTAGTCTTAAACTTATGTTTAGAACATTTATTGAACTTTGGGATTTTAATCTAAAATATCGTTATCTTAATCCTAATTAATTTATTGAATAAATTTTGAATTTAAGCATAATCTGTTATTCTTAATTTCTTTCTCTCTTTTACCTTTTCTTAAACTAACTTGAAGGGGTTTTGGGGTTTTGGGG